GAGTTTACAGTCCCTCCCTTCGCCAGAGAAAGCCTGCAGTTTTCAAGAGAACAGACACATTTCCCTCTAAGGGTTCATTTATAAAGTACTTAGTGGTAAAACGGTGACTAGCTTGAGGCCCAGGTTCAATTGGCCCCCAAAAGAAATAAACTAAATAGAAACTGTAAAGCATTTAAGTACATTTCTTTTTTAAAATTTTATTTATTGTTATTTTCTCTTTTTTATACATCTTTAGTATCTTTAGTTGTTACAAAGGAGTTGCCAGTCAACAAAGCAGTTTATGAATACAGTGCATCTTGATCAATGTTGCTTCTTTCAACATTTCTTTTTTTTTCCCCTATATATGTATTTTTTTTTGGGTCCGGTCGTGGGGTCTGAACTCTGGGCCTGGGTGCTATCCCTCAGCTCTTCAGCTCAAGGCTAGCGCTCTACCACTTGAGCCACAGCCCCACTTCCAGCTTTTTATTCTTTGCTTATGTGGTGCTGGGGAATCAAACCCAGGGCCTCATGCATGCAAGGCAAGCACTCTACCACTGAGCCACCTTCCCAGCCCCTCTTTTCTTTCTTTGAGAAAGGTTCCTAAGTATTGGTAACCTTCTCTTAGGAGCCCTGAATCTCAGGTTTTTCTGTCAATTCACTTTTAGATTTCTTGCTTTAATACCTTGACATCTTACAGAGAGGTCAAAATAAATGTGTGCAAAATCTTCTAAGCCTGGGAGAAAAATGCAGCCCAGTCCTGTAGTTGTTGTTCGTAACCTGCTCACAAAAGGGGTCAGGCCTGAGCCTGAGCTCTAGAAATGCATGTGAATATTACGGCTCCAGAGATTCCTACAGCCATCCCTGAATTCTCTTTTCACATTGAACAGAAAGTGCTGACATACTATGTCCCTGAGATTTACCAGGGGTCCGCCTCGATTCTTACTTCAATCCCTATAGCTAGTAAGGTAGAGGAGTTTGAGTTTGAAAGCAGAAGGAAGAGGGGAATTGCCTTTCCTGAGCACGTGTCCCTCATCACATCTTTCTTGCATACTCCCGTCACTCCTGGGTAGTAATAGTTAAGGGCCTTGCATGCGTGCGTGAGATGCTTGGGTTTGAATCTGAGCTTTACTAGTTATGTTGGTGGTGGGAATTCTCACTTAACTTTGCTTGTGTTTCAACACGCTCATTTGTCAAGTCAGGAATGCCAACAATTTCCACCCCATATGGTTCTGGTAAGATGAACTGACTTACTAATATACAGCGAGATGACGACGATGACAACAGTGATGACGGGGAAGGGCCGGGATCAGGGTTCAGCTGACACTTCATCGCCCTCCTGCTGCTGTCATGACTGTGTGTGTGGAAATAGTGTGGAGCTGCAGAGGGATGCAGGTGAACTACAAACAGATATAAACAGCTCTAGAAATGCATGTGAATATTACCAAAGGAGAGGAGGAGGAGGAATGGATTGTGGGAACACATACCAGAGTGGGACCAAGCTTCCTTCTCAGGTCAGAGAAGCGTCCTAGAGAGTGTGCTGCTTTAGCTGAGGCCGAAAGGAGAAGTGAAAGTTAGAAGGGCTGGCCAGGGGAAGTGGGTGGGGGGGAAGGGGGAGAGGGGAAGGGGGTGTGGAGGGCAGTGTGGAGGCAGGCTGAAGTAACTGAAGATAATCAGTGAGCCTGGTATAGGCTCTGAGGAGGCAGAGATCAATGAGGCTGATCATACAGGCCACCAGATGGTGGAATCCTTGTGATGTTAAGTAAGGAGTTTGGGTCATTAAGAGTCCAAGTACAAGCAGGGTGCTGGTGACTCACACCTGTAATCCTAGCTACTCAGGAGGCTGAGATCTGATGATCATGGTTCAAAGCCAGACTGGGCAGGGAAGTTTGTGAGACTCTTATCTCCAAGAAACTACTCAGAAAAAGCTGGAAGTAGCACTGTGGCTCAAGTGGTAGAGTGCTAGCCTTGAGCACAGAGAGGCTCAGGGACAGTGCCCAGGCCCAGAGTTCAAGCACCAGGACTGGCAAAAACAAACAAGAGTCTAAATACTGTTCTCAAAGTTCCCAGGAATTTTTTTCAAGCATCACAATTCTGGGATGAAGTTTTTCCTCTGAAAAATTACTACATGCCCAAAGACACGGACTTAGAAAGCAGATAGTCAGGATTTAAACCTTTATCTCTTTGACTCTAAGGTTAGATTTGATTGATTGATTGATTGATTGATTTGTGCCAGAACAAGAATTTGAACTGCAGACCTTGTGCTCTTGCTTACTCATAGCTGGCTTTCTCCTACTTGAGATATATCCCCAACCCTGCTTTTTGCTGATCAGATGGAACCCAAAGCTCATAGACTTTTCCGTTGTGGGTGGCTTTGAACCACGATCCTCTAGATCTCAGCCTCCTGAGTAGCTAGGATTACATGTGTGAGTAACTGGTGCCACTGTTAGAATTGTTTTGATAAGATATATACTTTTAGAATTTGGAGCCTGGCTGTTTGCTTTGGGGTCACCTTTGATTTCCTTTAACTTCACTTTGTACAATACACAATAATTATGTATAATAAGGCACAGTATTAATAAATACCAGCCTCACAGATAATTGAAAACATGTGGAAATATATGAAAAGCACCAAATGTAGTACAAGACACATGGACAGTATAACTGCTGCTCATGACAGTGCCAGGGATCTGAGGTAGAACCCTAGGAACTGCTGCCTGTTTAGGCTTGGCGCTGCCAGTCTTCTCTCCAAGGGCCACTGGAATCCTTTGCACACAGAACCAACGCCAGCTACATGGCAAGTTCCAAGCTCTGGGCTCTCTGCTCTTAAGCCAGCAGCCACTGAGCTCTGGTAGGGAGATCTGAGGCCTTGCTAACTCACGTACCTTTCTCCCTAGGGCTCAGTGTCCTTGACTTTTAATGCATCTCTTCTGTCTAAGACTTAAAGAACTCAGCTGTTGGCGACAGTTGTTGAACTTCTTTGTTGCTATTTAACTTAACTTTGCTCCTATTTGATCTTAGGAGCACATGTTGTCTCTAGGTGACAGGGTACCGCAGTAGGCTCTCAGTAGGCAAGGATTACTTTCACCAAAATGAGCTTATGTAGGTACTGAAACTCTTTGGAGGTTTTATTGAGAAATAGAATAGCCAGGCACCGGGCTCATGCCTGTAATTCCAGCTATTCAGGAGGCTGAGATCTGAGATTGCACTTCAAAGCCAGCTGTGGCAGGAAAGTGCGTGAGACTCTTATCTCTACTTAACCACCCCAAAAGCTGGAAGTGGAGCTGTGGCTTAAATAGTAGAGTGCTGGCCGTGAGTGGATAAAGCTCAGGGAAAACACCTAGCCCCTGAGTTCAAGTCCAAGGCCTGGAACCAAAAAATAAAATACACCAATCAGGGTGCAGGTGGTTATGTCTGTAATCCTAGCTACTCACAAGGCTAAGATATAGAGGATGATGATTCAAAGCCAGTCTGGGTAGTAAGGTCCATGAGACTCTGTCTCCAAAATAACCATTGAAAAGCTCGGCTGGGGCTGGGTGCTGGTGGTTCACACCTATAATCCTAGCTACTCAGGAGGTTGAGATCTGAGGATCACAGTTGGAAGCCAGCCTGGGCAGAAAAGTCTGTGAGACTCTTATCTCCAATTAACCACCAGAAAACCAGAAGTGGTGCTATGGCCCAAAGTGATAGAGTCTTAGCCTTGAGCAAAAGAGCTCCAGTGAACTCAGGACAGGGCTCTGGCCCTGAGGTCAAGTCCTATCACAACTGGAAAAAAAGAAAAAGAAAAAAAGATTGGCAAGCTGTGAGCAAGTAAGCTGAACAAGCTCAGGGCCTGAGTTCAAATCATGGTGCCAGCAAAATAAGTAAACTCTTAAACAGTCCTTTAAAGTAGACAGAGCATCTAGTATTCTTTTCAGCACAACTGGGGAAATGAGAGCAATAAGCCCTTGTTTTTCTTCCCTTCTGCAGAGTAGACATTTCCTATGTGTAACTCTGCCCTGGAGTTTAGAAAAATAGAGTTGAAGGACAGTATTCCCTCAAGGCTGAGGCAGACGTTGGACCAAATAACTACACATTATCAGTAAAGTTTTAGGACAGAGGAATGATGAAAGCATATCACTTTATTTGTGGAAGACCAGGAGAGAGAGAGAGACAGAGACAGAGACAGACAGAGAGAGAGAGAATGACAGAGGGAGAGAGAAATAGAGGAAGGGAAGGAGAGAGAGAGAGGGAAGAAGAGAAGAAGAGGGAAGGAAGGAGGCAAAGAGGGAAAGAGAAGTAGAGAGAAAAGGAAGGAGAGAGAAAGGGAAGTGAGGAGGGAAGAAGGGACAAAGAAATAGAGAGAAAGAGGGAAAGAGGGAGGGCAGGCTTGTATTGGGCCCATAGGATTTGGGCCTTGAAGAAAATGAGTGTGTGTGTGTGGGGGGGGGGCTGTCCTAGGCACAGGACACAACATATACCAAACCCCTGGGAACAAGAAGCAGCCCTTGGGGATGCCCTGTGGCATCTGCAGGGAGGGCAGCCTGTGGTAGTGGTAGGAGTGGGCTGGGTGCAGAAGGCCAGGACGACCATCACTCCCATTGGTATGGAGACGGATAGGGCCCTCCACTCAGTCTCCAGGTCCGATCTCGAGCACTTCTGCCCAGAGACAGTCCAGCCCAGATACCACCCTTAAACTCGGGGCTGTCTCCTTTGGTACTGCTTCTCTGCACCCCCCCCCACCCCCCCAACCAGAAAGGTGGAACCCAGGGCTTATCACTTGAGGTCCTGTGACCTGACAGCTTGGAGGAACAAAGGTTACTGGGCGAAAGGGTACCTGTGTCATTTACTTTTTGTGGCATGAAGTAGCTGGAGGATTAAAGTCCATCGTGACCAAACATGTGTGTACCTCTCTGGCTGGCAGGGTCATTAAGTTGCTCTTCAAATCAGTCCGGTCTGTTGCTGAGGACACACAGCTGACATCCTCGTGCTCCCTAGCAGGCCTGACCTGGCTTCTCTCACTGTGGCCTGTGTTTGCTTTGCAGCTGTGTAAATGAGTATGGAAGATTATGACTTCCTGTTCAAAATCGTTTTAATTGGCAACGCCGGTGTGGGGAAGACGTGCCTAGTCCGACGATTCACTCAGGTAAGGGAACTTGGAGCCCACGCTTGCGTGTCTGTTCAGCCCCCTTTAGAGGAGTCTGATAGATGCGTGGTAGGGCCTGTGAGTTTGTTTGCTTGCTTGCTTGAGTTATTTTTCAGACAAGGTCTTGTGCTTTTGTCAGGGGCTGGCCTCAGCCTGCAATCCTCTTACTTCTGTCTCTCACATAGCTGGGGTTTGGGGTAAACACTACCGTGGCTGGCTTGATTTTTGAGAGGAGGTCTTGCTAACTTTTTGTCCAAATGAGTCTAGAACGGTGATCCTCTTATTTCTGTCCTCTGAGTAACTAGGTTATATGCATAAGCTACTGTACCCAATCCACTGATGGTACTAGGGTTTAAAATCAGGGCTTTGTGCTTGTTAGGCCTCCAGCCCACCTCTCCTTTTATGGTGCTGGTCATTTTTTTTTTTTAATTTTGTTTTTGGGTCCGGTCATGGGGCCTGAACTCTGAGCCTGGGCGCTGTCCCTCAGCTCTTCGGCTCAAGGCTAGCGCTCTACCACTTGAGCCACAGCACCACTTCTGGCTTTTTTCTTTTTTCTTATGTGGTGCTGAGGAATCGAACCCAGGGCCTCATACAAGCAAGGCAAGCACTCTACCACTGAGCCACCTTCTCAGCCCAGTGCTGGTCATTTTTGAGAGGGGGGTGTCTCATTTTTTGCCTGAGCCACACTGGACCATGATCCTGTTTAAGCTTCTCCATGTAACTGGGCTGGTAGGTGGGTACCACCATACCCAGCCTTTTCTCTTGAGATGGGATCTCATGCACTTTGTTGCCCAGGATTTCAGTCCTCCTGATCTCAACTTTGAATGTAGCTGACACAAACTACAGCACCTAGCTCTTGTTTAATATGGCCTTAAATTGTGATTCTCTGTTAATCACCTCTTAAGTAATTAGGATTTCCAACATGAGCCATTGTGCCTGGTAACTATGGGTTCTTCATGCATCCTTTGGAAGCTGCATTGTTTGTGGCCTAGTATTTGTTTAAACTGCCTAAAAGAATCATAGCTCTGGGGATAACCCCAACTTCCCACGTCTTGTTTCTGCTCTCTTTTTATGAAAAGAACATGCCATTTTACTTTCAGTGTGCAGCATCAAAAATAAATTATTGCCCAAGTAAAGTGGCTGACACCTGTAATCCTAGCTACTCAGGAGGCAGAGATGGGGCCAATCATAATTTGAGGCCAATTTGAGCAAAATGTTTGTGAGGTCCCATCTTAACTAATAGAAAATTGGACATCGTATTGTCATCTGGCTTCAGAAGAGGCTGAGATTGGTTTGGGCAGGCCCAGGGATAAACTGAGACTTTATTCAAACAATAATGAATGCAAAAAAGGACTAGGGGCATGGCTTCAGTGGTAGAGCACCTGCCTGGCATGCCCAATACCCTGAGTCAAAACCCCAATGCCCAGCTACTTAAAAATAATAATAAATAAAGCCCCAGTGATGCCTATATGTATACGTGTGTGTGTGCACACATGTGTGTGTATGGATGGACTGATATGTTTAAAAACTAGATGAGTAGTTCATAATGATCCAAAAGGAGAAACAAATGAATTTGGACCTTAAGCTAAACCTAAATAGTCATAAGCAAACAAATACAAAGGAAACCTCAAACTCCTTGCCTTTGCCCTCTTCCCTCCTCCCAGCAAACTGAGAGAATTGTTCTGGTATAGAAACAAGTATGCTGATTTTCTAAGTCTTTGAAACAGAAATGAAATGAAGACTGTAAAGGAAGACTTGCACCAAAGCCAGTGTCTTTTCTGGCTTGAACCCTTATCATATGGCATAGCTACAAGTCTCCTGTGGAGCTGTTCTCTTGAGGTTCACCAACAGGACACAGATATTTTCAATGCACTGAGAAGTCATTCTAAGGCTGTGTATCCCCTGGAAAAATGAACGATGCCCTTCTCTGGACCATCGTGCATATAGCTGTGTCTTCATAACAAGCATGTTGGGAAAGTTGAAACTGCCACTTCCATTTCCTCCTCCTCTTGTGTTTTTGTCTTTCTAGTGCTGAGCTTGAACTTAGCTGATTCACTCTTGGTAGGCAGGTACTCTCCCACTTGAGCCGTACCTCTAGTCCTTTTTTGCTCTGGTTATTTTTAAGATAGGGTTTTGCTCTTTGCCTGTACTGGCCTGGACTGCTATCCTATTTATGCTTCCAAACATAGTTGGGATGAAAGGTTTGTGATACCAAGCACAGATTTTTCTGTGGAGTTTACCACTAACTGGTTTTTTTTTTTCCCCCAGGCTGGTCTTGTACTATAATCCTCACATTTTCGGGCTCTCAAGTAGCTGGAATTATAGGTATAAGGCACTGTACTCCGTTGAGTAAGCTTGTGGCTCATCTGCTTGTATTGATAATTTTGTGTGGCCTGCAAATGATGTTATCAATACCAAATGGTCCTTGGCTAAAACAAGGTTTCCACACCGGGTAGGGCCACCAGGTATGATAGAAAGAGCACTAGCTCAGGAGTGGAGACTCGGGTCCAAGTCATGATCCTGTCCCCGGCTTTCCTGGTGAGCCTGGGTGAGCTCCCTGCCCTTCCCAGCCCTCCCATGGTACAGGAGGAGCCTGGTGAGTTCCAAAGCCTGACAGTGTGTGAGTCTGAGGAAAACTGAAGAGGCAGTTTGGATAACAAAAGCAGCTTTAGGGCCCAGAGTCACTCGAGATTGTTAGGTTTTTTAAAAAAGAGGTGGCCAAGTAAGAACAGCACCACACACATGGTAAGGGGTAGGTTTATTCATAGTTCCAGCTGGCCATGTTGGCACTTCACATGGCTGGGAAAGGCCTGGGAAAGACGTGGGAAAGACCTGGGGAAAAAGGGGGCGTCTGGGCCTGTACTAGGCCTTATCTAGGGTATGGGTAGAGAAAGGTGTGGCTACATGGAATTCAGATGTGACCTCAGCAGATGCAGACATGACCTCTTCCAGGTGTGCCAGTTGCCTAGGTAACACAGGTACTGGGTGGAGACTTTACTGTGAGGAGGGTGGAGTCTGCTCGCCTTCCAGGAGCAGACCTTACAAAAATAAGAGAAGTTTTCCTGTGTTAAGTGAATGCACAAAGAACCCGTGCTTTATATGGAATCTGGTGAAATCAAGAATAAAGAGCTATCAGGTATCGGGGCTCTTCATCCAATGGGATGGAGAGATATCTCTTAACTGGTTTTACATCCACTTAACATCACTAATTGTTTCTGCTTTTGCCAGAGGGACAAGATTCTGAATTGCAGAGAAGGAAGGAAATTGGTGTCATTACCAAAAGATCACTTGGAGATTATTCAGTGTATTCCTCTCATTATTCACACAAAAACCTCCAATGTTCAGAGGCTAAATGATGGGCATGTGATCTCATACTGTGTCAGGGGCAAAGCCAGGATTCCACCCAGTTTCCTGGGCTAAGTTTCTTAGCCTGATAATTTCTATCTCTTGCAGGTTTGAACCTCTGACACCACTCTCTATAAACCCAAGCCCTATCATTTAAGATGAAAATACTTCCTTTTTTCAAACAGTAAGATTGGCAAAGGAGCATATTTTACTTCTTTACTTCTTTTCCTTTGCTGGCTACCTTTTGTCCTTCTAGCCTCTCAGATCTCCACCTCCAAATTCATATTTCCTAGACAGGATTTTGTTTATTTTTGTCCACCAGTAAGCAGTTAAAATGGATAAGATTCAACTGTTTTTGAGGTATGAATGGTTGGGGAACAAAATAGTGGTGGGGGGGTGAGGGAAGAAAACATTGGGAAGGAATTTTTTTTTTTAGTTTTTGACATTTGGTAGACTACAAACAGCTGGAGCTATAAACTTGAAATTTGTCCACCTTGTATTGGAGCCAAGTCAAAACAGAAGAAAATTGATTCAATATTTGTAAGGAAAGTTATGAATATATTTATGTTTTTTTTGCAGGTCTTCAATAGGAACATTTTCTTTTGGGTTCAAGCTCAGCCTTTTAAGTTCAAACTTTAATTAAGGAACTCTCTTGTTAGGGATTAGACTTGATTGAAGATCCTTTAGTCTTGGCTGCCAGAATTAATAAGGTCCATTTTAGTTCAATTTCTGAAATATGAGAGGAAAGGGAAGGGAGACTAAATAGAGTCCTTTCTTGATAGAACTCCTTGCTATACCATCAACTTCCTTCGGAAGCTTAAAGGAAACATTATGCAACAGTAAACAGCATTAAACATCATTTTACTAATATCCTATCTTTTTGGAAATGACTGTTTCCAGCTTACAAAAAGCTCCTCCCCTTCCCTCTCCCCTCTCTTTCCTCCAGCTCCTCCCTCTCCTCCCCCTCCTTTCCATGCTCATTTCTACTTCACACTTGTTGGACTGGAAAACCCAGAGGGAGAGTAGCTTTCTCTTTCTGAGGCCACTAGTGACCCAAAGCCTTCTGCTTCCTGGTTTATTGCTGTTTCTCCTCCACTGTCTCTCCCTGAGGACAATTTTCTTAGACCCACCGAGCCTGGCCCCAGGGCAGAAGACAATGTTCATTGTCTTGTGTTCATTCTCCTGCTCAGTTCTTGTTTGCTTTCCTATTGGCCATGCATCCTCGTGGCTGACACCTTCAGGATGCATAACCAAATTTAAGCTTCCTCTGTAGACTACCTATCCATTTCCCTCAATGCAACAACCCTGATCTCATTCCTGGGGTCCCCTGCTCCTCAGTGTTACTACCTGTGTCTGATTTTTGTTTCTTTCTTTGAAATCAGCACCCCTTGCACCCCCATAGCCCTTCCCTAATCCTCTTGCTTTTTTTGTCCCCATTTCTGTGTTGGTTTCTCCCAACAATTTTCTCTCCCTCTTTGCCCGTCCTCTCTTCTCAAAACACACATCTGGAGTTTCACAGTGCTCCTGTGACGTCAACCAGAGTTGCCTTTTCTACCAGTTAACTCAGCCAAGGGAAGGGTCTGCAGTGAATAGTGGGCAGAGGGGGCTGTGGGGGAGGCAGAGATTTCATCTAATGGAAAGATGTGCCTAACTGTTACTCACCATTGTTTCCTCTTTAGGGTCTTTTCCCCCCAGGTCAAGGAGCCACAATTGGAGTTGATTTTATGATTAAGACAGTGGAGATCAATGGTGAAAAAGTAAAGGTAAGGCTTTAAATGTGCCCTAAGGCTTTCTTGTGCCCTATAAGAGTTGAGATGAAATAGTGCTATCCTATCTGCATCACATTTATTCATTGTTTTTATGGTAATCCACCTGGAGCTGGGTATTGGTGGTTCCACCTATAATCCTAGCTACTCAAGAGGCTATGATCTGAGGATCAAGGTTCGAAGCCAGCCTGGGCCTGACAGTCTGTGAGCTTCTTGTCTTCAATTAACCACCAAAAAGTTGGAAGTGAAGCTTTGGCTCAAATGATAGAGTACCACCAGCCTTAAGCAAAAGAAGATTGGGGACAGAGCCCAGGGGAAGGGAAGGAGGGAGGGAGAGGGGGAGGGAAGGAGGGAAGAAGGAAGGAAGGAAGGAAGGAAGGAAGGAAGGAAGGAAGGAAGGAAGGAAGGAAGGAAGGAAGGAAGGAAGGAAGGAATCTCTACACCCAGCCTTGATGGCTTCCTTCTAGTACCTTTATGGAGCAGGAAGAGGTTGTGGATGACAAAACTTCTACACTGGAAGATGGAAAGAAGGGCTAAATAGATTATCCTGTCTTCTGTCATGTTTGATGATGTAAAACCAGGGAAGAAATTTCTTTCTTGATTTCCTGAGTTGGACCAGTAAACAATAATATTTCCTCTAAACAGCAGCCCCATGAGAAAGCTGCCAGGTCCCTCACATGTCATTTTAGGTTATTCAGTCATAGAACTAGCTTATTAAAGTTATCTTGACTCCCCTCACACCCTTATCCCTAATGAAAGAGAGATGCTAAATAAAAATCCAAGAAAGGAACCATGATCTCTACTCTGTCCCTAACTTGGTGGCTCCCCAGTGGATTGGTACTGGGAGAAGTGGGGTATTCCCAGGAACAGGAGAGGATACAGTGCTTTCTGTGGTCAGGGCAACTGCCAGGAGCTCTTACATATGGGTTTGTATTTATTTGTTTTGTTTTGTTTTTTGTACTTGTACTAGGGCTTGTATTCAGAGCCTGGGGGCTGTCCCTTAGCTTTATTGTTCAAGGCTAGCATTCTTACCATTGGAGCCACAGTTCCACTTCTGGCTCTTTGCTGGTTGATTGGAGGTAAGAGTCTCATGAACTTTCCTGCCCAGTCTTGCCTTTGAACTGTGATCCTCAGACCTCAGCCTCCTGAGTAGCTAGGATTACAGGTGTGTGCCACTGGCCCCTAGCACATGTGTTACTGTAGTAACCATAACCTTCAGTATAAACCCTGGGAGGCAGGTAGATTGTCCTTTTCCTGGCATCAGGAAGGTTAAACTCACTTATCCATGGCTCTAAGCCACCAGGAAGGGAGATAGACAGGATCTGAACCAACTATCCACTTCTGTGGGCTTTCCCCACTAGAGACAAGGGTGGAATAGCCCTGACACCTTGTAGCAGGGATGGGAGTAAATTACATGGGAGGAGGGAAAGACACTGATCCTGGTACTGTGTTCGGCCTGCCACTCAGTTCTTGAATTTTAGTCAGGTGTTTCCAAGCCAAGTCCCATGGAAAGAAATGCTAACCAGGCTATCCAGCAGCACAGAGAAACAGGCATCAGATCCTAACATAAACACGCCAGATTTGGTTGTGTTATGGCATCTGTGTGTACCGGCACTCCTTTTTTGAATGCCCTGGGAAGGGCAAGTAAGCTCCAAGATGTTCATGTAGCATCTCGTAGGTGCAATTGCAAAAGAAGTGTTAGGAAGAGGCTCTTGAGCTTTTCCAGTCTTTCTTCCAGTCCTGATTCTTCAGAGACATTACACTGAAAACAACCATGAAAAGGAGACTTGGGGGCACTGGAAAGTAAAAGTAGGGTGTGAAACTCCCACAGATGCCAACCAGATGGGCAAGGGCCAGAGGGGAGGGGCAGGAGTGGGCTGCATACGCAGGCAAAGTCTTTGGAGTTCCTTTCGTTCCTTTTGCAGAGGAGCTGGTTACCAAGATGGGAACTGGGAAAGGATGAATCCACTTTATGAGCTTCAGTCCCATGCCTGCAGTTCCCACTTAGACACGTATGAGAGTTCATGTGCATGTTAGAAATGTCATGTCTGGCACTGACCGAAATAAGTGCTGAATAAAAAAAAAATGCTCCCCGTGGTAAGAACACACTTAGTGTCTGAAATCTCTAGGCTTAGTCTTCCATTTATTTTTATTATTAAGGTGTTGTGCAGAGGGGTCACTGCTTCATAAATCAGGTGAGGAGTACATTTCTCTTTCCTCTAAGTTCCCCCTTTCTGCCCCTGCCCACAAGTTGCAGAGTTCATTTTCTACGTAGTGTTTACTGAGTCCCACTGCTGCATTTGTTCACCCCTCCTCCCTCCATTTCAGTGCCCCCTTTTTGCCCCCCTCAGAAGACAGAAACAAAGAACCAACAAAAAAATAAAGCAAAAAACAAACAACCACAAAAAGAAATCCATATTGTCATTTCCCGGAATTTGTTTCTACAAATAGTATTTCAGACGTTTAGAGGTATTATACCTTTGGGTTCCTCCTCTAAGAGGAGGGGCCTCCTTTAGTCTCACTGTTTGTATGTGAACGCCCAGAGTCCTGTATAATTTGTCTTGCCCTGGTTTATATTAGATCTCGCTTCTGCATATGAGAGAAGAAAACATGTACAGTTTGTCTGTCTGCTCTTGGCTTGCCTCAGTGAGTCTGATTTGTTCTGCTGTAATCTCATTTTATTATTTATTTATTTTTTATTGTGAAAATATTGTACAGAGGGGTTACAATTACATGGGCAAGAAAATGAGTACATTTCTTATCAAGCATTGCAGCCTCCTCCTTTGTTTCCCCTTCCCATCCCTTCCCAGTCTCATTTTAAAATGCTGATTACATTCCCAAAATTCATCTTTCTATGGCTTCTGAGTCCACAGCAAGAACACAGGCTCCCAAGGCTTGTGTTTTACGCATCTTTGTATTCCTAACACAGTTCCTGTGTCCAGCACCTCTTCAGACTAAACCCCATTCTGGTCCAGACCAGTCCATCAAGACACAGAATGGCCCTCTTCTACCATCCTTGTCCAAGAGCCTCATGTGGCTGGTGGAATGGCTCAAGTGGTAGAGAGTCTGTCTAGCAAGCACAAGAAACTTCCCAATAGTCTTATTAATGTGTGAAAATATAAGGACCTCTCCCCCTTTCTTGGTGTGTCAGCCCTAGGATTTGAACTCAGGGTCTGGGTGCTGTCTCTGAGTTTTGTTGCTCAAGGCTAGTGCTCTGTCACTTGAGCCACAGCTCCATGTCTAACTTTTTGGTTGTTAATTCAAGATAGAGTCTCACAGACTTTCCGGGCTGGCTTTGAACTGTGACGCTCAGACCTTATCCTCCTGAGTAGCTAGGATTACAGGCTTGAGTTGCCAGGACAACTAGAAGACAGTTGTGTTATTGTCACTGGTGTTAACATTTACTGCACACCTCCCTTCTTCGTGATGATTAGTTACTAAGCTTTGCAAGCTTTCTCAGAGCCCTATGTGATCAAGGGAAGGAGAAACCACTATGAGTTTGTGCAACATCAAATGTAGGACCAGAACAAGGGTCTCTTTCCTCAGCTCCCCTCAGTCTCTCAGGTTCACACAAGTGATCATTCTTTCTAGAATGGCTCCCAATCACAGGCAAGCTAACCCAGGAATTAGAAGATTCTTATAACCATTGAGAATAAACGCCAGATTCCGTGGAGGTCAAGTTAAGGAGTCTCCTCCCCACCTTTTTACTATTACAGAGGCTTGACCTCAGGGCCTTGTGTTCTTAGGTGGCTTTCTTGCTCATGTCTAGTGCACTAACACTTAAACCACACCCCCAAGCTGACATTTTGCTGATTAATTAGAGATGGAGTCTCACATGCTTTTCTGCACAGGCTGGCTTTGAATAATGATCCTCCAAATCTCAACTTCCTGAGTAGCTAGGATTCTAGTTGTGAGCCACCAGCAACTGGCTAGTAGGCTCACCTCTTAAAGGAGTATGCAGTATAAAGATGAGCTTGAGCAGAAAATGTAGTTAAAACATGTAGCCAGGTGCTGGTAGCTCCCAGCTGTAATCCTAGCTACTCAGGAGGCTGAGATCTGAGGATAGCGGTTCAAAGCGAGCCCAGGCAGGAAAATCTGTGAGTCTCTTATTTCTAATAAACCACCAGAAAACCAGAAGTGGTGCTGTGGCTCAAGTGGTAGAGTGCTAGCCTTGAGCTGAAGAGCTGAGGGACAGCACTCAGGCCCAGTTCAAGCTCCATGACCAAAACCAAACCAAAACAACAACAACAAAAAACAGCCATCTAGCCCACTAACTTGTATCCTTAAAAACTGTTAAATGATGATACATTTTGATGTATATATATATATATTTGTTTTGTTTTGTTTTTGGTCATGGGGCTTGAACTCAGGGCCTGGGTACTGTCCCTCAGCTCTTCAGCTCAAGGCAAGCACTGTACCCCTTGAGCCACAGCACTACTTCCAGTTTTCTGGTGGTTAATTGGAGATAAGAGTCTCATGGACTTTCTTGACATGGCTGGTTTTGACCCATGATGCTCAGATCTCAGCCTCCTGAGTAGTTAGGATTTCAGGCATGAGCCACCGGCACCCTGCTTGTACTACTCTTTTAAGGCTAATTAATTATTCTTTCCTTGGGGATTCCACAATTCTATATCATTTAATCATTGTTCCAATGTGTCCACCACACAGGGTGTTAGGCAGTCCGGGTATGATGTCGAAGAGAACACAGACTGCTCAGGAGGTAGGCTAGGACACTAGTAATGTTGACATTGTTGCCAAGTAGCAACAATCCATTGTAGTGAGAAAGAGGCCGTAGTGATTAAGTAGTGGTACAATCAAAGAGAGGATAAGCATTGTGGTATCCCTATGTTGTAGGTGGGAAGCTAGAATATTCATGGCTGCAGTACTGAAAATATATAATGACTGTCATGAGACAACATTAGGAGACATGCTGTCTTTTTTGTTTTAATCTTTTGTGGTTTTAGAGAGGGTCTCACTATAGAACACAGATTATAGTCTTAAACTTGGGATTCTCCTGCCTCTGCCTCCTAAATGCTGGGATTACAGGTATGAACTACCATGCTGGCCTTTTTGATAAAACATCTCATTTGTGCTGTTGTTACTTACACTTAGATTTGAGTCTCACAGTCTGTTTATACAGTGTTTTTAGACAAAGGATCATGTTTGACATCTTGGGTCCTCCTTGCGCCTTGCACAGTGTCCTATAAATGCTGAGAGAGGCAAATGGATTGCAGAGAAAAGCAAAGGCAAGCAGAGTGAAAAAGGCAGTAGCATATAAACATTCTTAATAACCAACTGTCAGGCGGAAAACAGCCAGCTTCCCCGGGCAAAGTAGCATCTATCTTGTCAAGGCTGCACAATAACTCTTGTAGAAAGTATTTAATGCTCAAAGCGGTTTCTGAAATGTGCTAGTCATGAGAACACAGGGTATTCTAATGACAGGCAGTATCTCAATCAGATCCCTTGCATTTAGAGGCTCCATGGGCTTTAAAACAATAACCTGCTAGACTAGGAAGGTGGCTTAGTAGTAGAGTGCTTGCCTAGTATGTATGAAGTCCTGGGTTCGATTCCTTAGTACCACATACACAGAAAAAGCCAGAAGTGTCACTGTGGCTCAAGTGGTAGAGTAAATGCTAGCCTTGAGCAAAAACAGCTCAGGGACAGTACCCAGGCCTTGAGTTCAAGTGCCAGAACTGGCAAAAACAAACAAACAAAAAAACACAATAACCTGCTACTCTTAAGGCAAGACCTGCAGAAGAGAACTATGTTCCTAGGTTTGAGGCAGAGAAGAGCTTTTAAGTTCCAGCAAAAGCTGTTACGTCTCTCTGTTTGCAGTTTGTACACTTAGACTCCAATGTATGTCAGCTGTGACTTCAAATCCAAGGAGTGTGCCACTAATTTGTGGCAGGGACCACCCACCCCTGACCAGCTAAGCTGGCAAAGCGGAGGGCAACACCACTGACTGCGCTCTTTAGAGTCACCTCTCCACTTAAATAAGTCTTCAGTGGCAAATGCAACAAGTAGGTGGGGGGGCCAGGCCTCCCTGGGGACAGGAGACGTGGAGTCTGCTTGCCAGCTTTGTGAGTATCTGGTTAGGAGACAGTTTCCCGTCAGTCTCCAGCGAGACTGTTGGTAAATATTTGACTATCTTCCCTTTGCTGGGAACTGTATTTGGTGAGTAAAACGAACCCTGCAGCCTCCATCTTGAGGCCTTGAGCAAGTGGGAAAGACACGGATGAGTCACTACACCAAGAATCATGAGGTGAATGACACACAATGTGTCGCAAGGGTGATCACACTGTCCCTGGGAAGGTTACGGAAGGCCTTTCCTGCAGAAGTGGTGGTGTGTCGAAGGAGATCCAGCTGTGATGTGTGAGATGTACAGTCAGAGGACGGAATGGCAGAGGACAGCAGCGGCTGTGGTTGGCGTTCCCCAAGGTCTCGTGACCTGCTCTGGGCAGACTCTCTGTCTCACTCCTCCTCTGCTCCGGGAAGAGACATTGAAGAAGAGATGCAAGGAGTAGTTTGCCTTCTTCTTTGTTACAAAAGCCACCCGTTATCAGGCTTCAGAAATGATTCCACTTTAGAAGGGGTTCAGCAAGAACCCCTTTTGAGAAAGAAACAACAGAAGCCCAAAGAGGTTCATTGACTCACCCAAGGACACAGAGCAAAGGGCAGTGTTTTTCTGTCTGCTGTGGCAGTGTTCCTGTTTCTGTTCATACGAGGGTGAACACAAGAAGGAACACAAGAAGGGTGCCTTCTTATGTTTTTTTTTTTTTTGGATTGTTCACTAGAAAGGGTGGTAAGGTTGGATTTCTTCCTCTTTCTGTAACATGACAGCCTGCTCTGAGCAAAGCCTGGGACATAGCTCCTGATAAGTTGTCTAGGAGACTCTGAGCAGTAGCTCTGTACTGTACTTTCCTCAGGGAAGAAATAGGTATAATTGTACCTAACTCATAGAGTAATTATGAGGATTGAATTATTACATACAAAGTACTTACTATGTTACATATAAGCTTCTGGGGTTTTTTAAATTTTTTTTGGTGCTGGTACTGGGGCTTGAACTTAGCACTTAGGTAAGGCTGATTCTTTACCACTTGAGTCATACTTCCACTTCTGGGTTTTTGGTAGATAATTGGAGATAAGAGTCTTGGACTTTTCTGCCTGAGCTGAACCATGATTCTCAGATCTCAGCCTCTTGACGAGCAAGGATTACATGTGTGAACCACAGTGCCCAACATAAGCTTCTTAAAATACAACTTGAAACACAATAAATGTACAGAAAGCTATATCTTATTTTATTTTTTTAAGAATTAAGAAGGAATTCTCAAATAACCAAAGAGGAAAAAAAAAAAAATCAAGCTTTAAAAAAAAATCGAGGGCTGGGAAGGTGGCTCAGTGGTAGAGTGCTTGCTTTGCATGCATGAGGCCCTGGGTTTGATTCCTCAGCACCACATAAGCAAAAAGAAAAAAGCCGGAAGTGGCACTGTGGCTCAAGTGGTAGAGTGCTAGCCTTGAGCTGAATAGCTGAGACACAGCGCCCAGAGTTCAGGCCCCATGACCAGACCCTCCCCCCCAAAAAATCCAAATACCTGACAATAGCAACAGATCATAAATGGCTTCAGGGCAGAAAATAACCATGAAATTATTTGGGTGTAGGTCTTCTCATTTCTAAGCAAAAGCAAGGCATGCCCTTGAAATTTCCTCCTAATTCAAGCTGATCCTCCCCTTCTCCCTTTACAGCTACAGATCTGGGACACTGCAGGACAGGAGAGATTTCGCTCCATTACCCAGAGTTATTACCGCAGCGCCAATGCCTTGATCCTCACCTATGACATTACCTGTGAGGAATCCTTCCGCTGCCTGCCTGAGTGGCTGCGAGAGATAGAACAGTATGCCAGCAACAAGGTCATCACCGTGCTAGTGGGTAAGTAGGGAAGAAGGAGCAGGAAAGTTGATTTGTGGATGTCAGGAAATCTATAATCACATAACACTTAGGCTTTGGTACCTTGTAAGTCATGAATTCAGTTCTTCTGCACCTGAAGAGTAAATGAAGAAGACTCATAGTGATTGTTTAGAAAAATAAAGCTGAAGATATTGCAGTTTGATTTTTCTATTAATGTGGGCTCTGGGGAGAAGTTGGCTGTTCATGGAAGTTATGTAGGTGGCTATACAATTTTTAAAAATTGAGTTACAAGATGGTGGAAACTGCTGGTTGTGAGTGACAGGGAATTCGTTATTTAAGCAATTGTTCATTCCTTAAAAAATAGATTTTGTTTAATTTTTTTGTGCTGATGTTTGGACACTGTGTTTCAAAAATAATCCTTAAGGAAATGCTGCCTTTTCTTTCATGTCAATATGTTTGGAGGGATGGGACCAAAAACAACCCTGTCCTAAGAAATACATCCATTAAAAATGGAATCACAAGCCAGGAGCCGGTGGCTCACACCTATAATCCTAGCTACTTAGGAAGTTCAGATCTCAGGATGGCCATTGGAAGCCAGCCTGAGCAGGAAAGTCCCTGAGTCTCTTATCTCCAGTTAACCACCAGCAGACCAGAAGTGGCGCCATGGCTCAAAGTGCTAGAGTGCTTGCCTTGAGCGGAAAAGCTCAGGAACAGCTCCCAGGACCTGAGTTCAAGCCCCACAACTGACAAAAAAATAAATAAGTAAACAAAAATGGCATTACAGGTGTGGGATGTAGCTCAGTGTATTCAAGTTTGATGTCCTAGGTTCCAGTATCCTTGGAACTGGGCTCCAACCCTAGTGCTAAGAAAGAAAAGAAAAAAGAAAATACAGTTTAAAAAAAAAAACTCCAAAGCAACAACAAAAAAGAATTACAGTAAAGTGGACCAAAGCTTTAACAACTCCTCTAGTCAGATAGAAAAATAGTAATAACAGTTAACTTGTTAAAATATTTCCTTCTAGGAAGGAATTTTTATGATTAGTCTAGCAAGACCTAAGTTTTGGAAGTATGTGCAGAGAACCTCATAAACATGGCTACCTTACAAATTAAGGCTCATAGTAAGCTAAGTAAACATTTCATTGTAAGCACAAAGTTCATATGAAAAACTTTACATGTCACAATTCCTAATTTACACTTGAGATACGAGGCTCAGAGTATTTGTTGGCGTTCGTACCACACATAAAATCAATGCTCTATAGTCTACTTTTAATGTGCTGCTGTGGAAAACACTTTTAGACTTTTCACTTGATGCTGTTTGCTAAATATCTGCCTTGCTATGAGCTGGTGCCCCAGCCCCGACCTGGAACCTTTCATGCTCCGTAGGGAACTTGTGCCGCGAGCCATTTGAAAGCTGCCAGCTCTGGACTTAGTCTCTCTTTTTGTTCCAAGAGAGTTTGTGAAAACTTGAGTCAAACCATTACTATGTGAGATTTTTATCTCAGGGAGTTGAAAATGAAGGCTTGAGGAGAGACGATTAGTTCAATAGAAAGAGGGATGGGCTTTATAAAGGAACATTTTAGCATGGAAAAAATCAAATGTAAGCAAAGTAGAGAAATCTCTAGAGAGAAGTCCCTATGTGTACGTTTCAACTTCAACAATTATCAGCTAATTTATGGCCACTCTTGTTTTATCTGTTCCCCTCTATTTTGCCTACCCTCCCTGCCTAGATTATTTTGAAATAACCCCAATGTTTGTACTATTAAAAATATATACATGCATTTATGAAGGGTAAATTTTATTTCTTTCTTTAACAAAGAAAGCCTAGCGTCTGGGTATGGTGGGCCAAGTCTATAATTTTAGCCATTTGTAACCTCAGTTCAAAACAACCTGATATAAAAGCTCACAAGCCTCCAACTCAACAAAAAAACTGCTTCAGGAGTACATGCCTGTCATCCCAGTTATGAAAAATGACTGTCATCCCTTGCAACACTAGGAAGAAAACGAAGGAGGATTCTTCCTATCTGCTAAGGAGGGTGAGATCCGAGGATCATGGTTCAATGCTAGCTGGGGCAGAAAGTCTGTGAGCCTCTTTATCTCCAGCCAACCATCCAAGAGCCAGAAGTAGAAGTGTGGCTCAAGTGGTTGAATGAAAAAGCTAAAGGACAATGGTTCTGAGTTCAAGCCTCAGTTCTAACACTAAAACACACACACACATACACACACACACACACACACACACACACACACACACACACACACACACACACACACACACACACACCAAACAAAGAAAGCAAAACAAGAAAAAGAAAAAGGAAGACCCAAGCTCAGGCTGGCCTGGGCATAAAGTAAAATCATAAAATCCTACCTTGAAAATAATGAGCAAAAAGAGGCTGAAGATGTAGCTCAGGTGGTAGAGATCTGTGTGTTCTTTGAAGCCAGATGCAACAGCTTAGACAGAAGAAGATGTTCTGAAGAAGATGTACTGTTTCTTTTCAATGGGAAGTTGATATTTAGAGGCCACAACCTAGGTGCTAAGGGTCCTCCTTACTGCGGGTTTGGTCATTGCTTATAGACCTTGCAGTGTTCTGTGCTGACATGTATCCTTGTACAGAGCGAATTCTCTCTCTCTCTCTCTCTCTCTCTCCCTTCACACACATATTCTTTCTCTCTCATACACACAAACACATGTGTGTGCACACACACACACTCCTTATTGGCCCATACTAAGTGTTCTCACTCACAAGACACATAGACCACATTTGGCCTCAGGTTCATTTAAAAGGATACAGGAGAGCAAAGCAGCCCAGGGGCAGATCGGCACTTGGCATCCTCCTTCAAACAAAGTAGTCCCCCCATAGCAGTCATGGAGCTTACCGCCCCTCCTTTTGTGGGGATGATGTCTATCTCTCACCGTAGGCAGGTGTGGGAACTTTCCTGCTTAGAAATGCCCAGAGGGGCAACTTCACAAGCACAACTTTGAGAATCTCCAAGTGAAGAAGAATGGGCACTGACAGGAAAACCCAGACACATTCTATTCTATAATTCATACCCAGCATTCCCAGGCCAGAGTAATTAACATTACGTGGTGACATTTCACTTTAGTCATGTTTCCTGAAGAAAGATATAATGTATCATAATTATTCACATATTTGCATTTATAATTGGGGGGTCTGTGGAAATTTCATTTAACTTCATTAACCTCAAATCTGTATTTGATTTTATTTTTTTATGCCCAAAAAAATCCCAGCTCCCTAGGATACCAGCATGATTACTCATTTGCTTTATCCCTTAGGGCACATAAGGCAGCCGCAGAATACCAATAGAAGCACTGCCTTGAACAAGATGATTCCCACAACAGTTAATTTGCTTTCAGTCCTTTTTGTCCTTAATGCATATATGTAAGGATGCATGGTTAGCCAGGCGCCCGTGGCTCATACCTGTAATCCTAGCTACCCAGGAGGCTGAGATTTGAGGATTCCAGTTCAAAACCAGCCCTGACAGAAAAGACCATGAGACTCTTATGTCCAATTAACCATCAAAAAGCCAGAATGGGAGCTGTAGCCAAGTGCTAGCCTTGAGCAAAAAAAGCTCAGGGACAGTGCTCAGTTCAAGCCCCAGGACTGGCACAAAATAAAACAAAAAGATAAGTTATCATTTATTTATTTTTCTTTAAGTGGTACCAGAGCTGGAAGTTTGTGTCTTGCACTTGGCAGGCAAGCACTGTTGCTTGAGTCACACTTCTAGCTATTTTGTTTTTGTGCTAATTACTTGACTTTTTTTTGTCAGTAATAAGGCCTCATGTTCTGGCTCAGGATTTTGCTCGTGGCTGATGCTCTACCGTTTGAGCCACACTTCCATTTTCAACTTTTTGCCAGTAAATTGAGATCAGTCTCATGACTGTCTGCTTAGGCTGACTTCAATTTTCAGATCTCAACCTCTTGAGTAGCTAGGATTCCAAGCATGAGCTACTGGTGTCCAGCTTTGCTGGTTATTTCTGAGGTAGAACTATCACTTCCTGCCTGGCTATACAGCCAGGATGGCTATCCTATTTTTCATTTCTTACCTTCTGGGATGATAGTCATGTATCATCATACCCCACTTCTTCCATTGAGATGATGTGTTACCTGAAGACATAATCCTCCTAATCTCAGCTACCATGTAGCTAGGATGACAGGTATATGTCACCATACACCCAAATTTTAGTCAAGAAGGGATCTTAGGAAATTTTCTGCTAGGACTGATCTTTCCTGATCACAGCCTCCTAAGCAGCTAGGGTTACTGGCACCTGGAAAATGATCACATCTTCCATTCATTTGAAATACTTGTGGGTGTTTGTACTGCTTTATAATAAGCATGTTCACTTAATTTTGCTTTCAAATTTTAGAGATTTCTTTTCAAATCTGATTTTGTATTAAATTCAAATGATAAATTTTTGAAGCCAAAACTTTTGAAGTATATTCAGAGAAGTATGCTTTCTACTCTTATCCACTCAATATTTTTCTTTCATAGGTAATTATTTTTATTTTTGCTTTTTTGTTCAAAAAATTATTCACACTTTTTTTTTTGTCAGTCATGGGGCTTAAACTCAGGGCCTGGGTGCTATTCCTGAGCTTTTGTGCTCAAGGCTAGTGCTCTGCTATTTTAAGCCACAGCTTTACTTCTGGTGTTTTGGTGGTTAATTGGAAATAAGAGTCAGAGAGACTCTTTCCTACCTAGACTGGCTTTGAACCAGGATCTTCAGATCTCAACCTCCTGAGTCACTAGGATTACAGGTATGAGCCAGCAGCATCCAGCTCAGACTTTTAAAAAAAACATAATAGTCCCTACATGGAAGCATTCCTAAGGCCAATCAGATAAACAAATTGTCATATATCTATGCATTCTTAAATAAATATATTACCCATCAAAAATTCATGCAAATATTATATTTTAAGCTTTTATTTATTCTTTTCTTAAAAAGGAAATGAAATATAGACTATATGTCTATGTAAACATCTATACATTTTTTCACATAATTCCCTCTATCAAAGAGGGAATAGTTGTTAATTATATAAATTTTTGTTTTTTTTTCCCTTCTTTTTCCTCTTGTACCACTTGAGCCATGCCTCCAGCTCATCATTTTACTGGTTGATTGGAGATGGAGTCCTGCAGATTTTCCTGCCCAGGCTGGCTTCAAACTATAATCTTCTAAGTCCAAACTTCCTGACTAGCTAGAATTACAGGTGTGAGCCACTGGCGCCTGGCTTCTCCTTGCTTTTTGTGCGGAATTGTAGTTTTCTTATTTCATGGTAGTATATAGAATATTCTTAATTTTTTTCATAAGGACAGATATTATATTGTGCAAATGCAGTGTTATTTATTAATCAGTGCCTGACTGATGGGTATCTGGGTTGTTTGTGGTTCGTTGCTGTTAGAAATAGCATTGGTATGATAAAATAAACACTTCTGTAATCGCAGTCCTATTTGCTTTGTTTTATTAACCCATCTGTCTAGTGTGACTTCAGATCTGGAAATGAATTTTGATGGCTCTGATCCTGTGAAAATGATATGATGATTCTTTTCTTTTTACCACTGTTATAGGCAACAAGATTGACCTGGCTGACAGGAGAGAGGTCTCCCAGCAGAGAGCTGAGGAATTCTCAGAAGCTCAGGACATGTATTACCTGGAGACTTCAGCCAAGGAATCAGATAACGTAGAGAAACTCTTCCTTGACTTAGCATGCCGACTCATCAGAGAAGCCAGACAGAACACACTGGTGAACAATGTATCCTCCCCCTTACCCGGAGAAGGGAAAAGCATCAGCTATTTGACTTGCTGTAATTTCAACTAAAGGCTGAGAGACGAGGAGAAGCAAGAGGAATCAGCAGCTGCCCTTGACGGGGCCATGAGTTGCTAGGGAGCTCTGGCGGTGACTGTGGCCCCCGCTCTCGGACCTTCTGAATCCTGTGGGCTCCTGAGCTTACAAAGCATGCAGGCCAAGGGCCTTGTCCATAGGCCAGCATTAGCAGAACCTATCTTTCATCTTTTTGCAGTCTGGAGCTGGAGCAAGGAGAAAATTGCGCCAAGTGCTCCATGATCTGCAGAGCATGTTGCTTTTGTTTTTTTCAAAAGGCAAGTTAAAGCGCATTCCTGAACATAGTCCAGGGGGTAATATACTGTAGGATTCCCTCCTGCACGTCAGCGGGTGCATGCCGGGTTGCGGGGGGGGCGGGGGCTGCTCTTTAGGGCTTCAGTGGTAATCTCCTGGTGGCCCTGTTGTCTTGTCCACCAGAGACAGCCAAACTGGCAAGGCCAAGGACTACCTCTGTGGTGGGTGTTAATGACCCCCCCCTTCCCCACCATGGAGAGTTTGAAAAGTGTTATTTCTTCCGTCCACAGGCACTTTCAAAAACTTTGGGAAGTAAACATGAAATGAAACCTTTACCCATGACCAACAGTAACACTTAAATTGTTTTAATAATATATACAAGCTCCATGACTCCTTTTGGTGCTAATGATTCTGCTCTATCACAGACCAAACATGTTTAGTACTTCGATGTCCTTACATGTATTCCAGAGAAATAAAAAAAAAAAAAAGAAACTGGGGGAAATCTATGAATCAGCACTCTTTTTCAAAGTCTCATTATTACCTAGACTAGATTTGTTGGAAAAGAGGATCCTTTTTTTTGCTTTCATTATTCCCCATTAAATCTCTTCTGGCAGTTTTCTTCTATTATTTCAGTTTTCCTGCTCTTTGAGCAAATAAAGATTGGAAAAAATAAGAATGATTAATGCTATTCTAATGTCAACAATTAGTTGTAAGACTTTGAACATAATATGAAAAAACTGAACAGATACGACCAAAATACTGTGGATTAATGGACTGCAAAGCAGGGTTCCAGGCAGAGTGCAGTCCTTAATAACAGGTCATATTCTTTACTTCCTGGTACTATCCTTGGACAGACCAAGGCTTAAGATTTTGTAGATATCTTAGTATAGTAAGTGAGAATAACAACAGATGAAGTCTCACAAACCAGTTTTGTATATCTTCAATGACTTTAGAAAAATCCTGTATGTGGAAACAGGATGAGCTGTCATTTATCATCTCATAACAATGTTACTCTCAGATCCATAAGACATTCTTGTGTCTTTCTCTTCTGTTTCCTGGTCTCCTTTTGGTTCTCCTCTCTCTCTCATTCTGATATGCATGTGTTACTGAAAATCTCCAATTCAAATGGAGGGATCTAGGCCTTTACTTAGCCAGTTTTAAAACAGGAGTCAAGTAGGAAGATGTGCTGTTGAGCATGTATTCCTTTTTTTCAGTGCCGTACTCTCATACCTTCCTATTTGTTCACTGATAGGCATGCAAATTGGGGAAGTAATTAAACCTGTATGCTGTCAGTACTGTCAGATGTTTGGGCAGCTTGCTGCCTACCAGACCTGAGGGATGAATATAGAATAAGGATATGACATGTCATTCCATTGTTGCTTTAGATGGTGACAGTCTCGGCTCTGATGTGTTGATGATGTTTGAAAGCTATTTCATTGGAAAGGGTTGAGTCATGCCAGGCCTGATATTGATAAAGCATTTGTGGAACTTCTCTGTCAGGCTCCAGAATAACCAATCTTTTCACATGAGATGACATGTACACAAATTGTGAAGGGACTCTTACTTCTTGTTGGTTCCACTGTTTTCTTGGAAGGCCAATTGGACCCCAGAAAATTTAAATGTCTCTATAGAAAGGAAAAATCACTTGGATAAAAACCAAAATAATTTATAATGATTACTTTTCCCTCCTCACTTCCTGCTCTAAGCCAGTAACTAAAGATATCAGAAAATAAGTTAATCTAGGTAGGCAGTTGAGTTTTTTTTTTTTTTAATGGTAAGAAAAATGTTTCTTTGGAGACACAAATCTAATGTTCCTAACATGTGATGACCCAACTTGGTCTCAGAGTAGCTAATGTGTTTTAAAAAAATAATTGATCTGTGAATGTAAAGGGTTTTGTTACATCTGATTAACTTGGTTCTAGCCTAACAGCTTCTTGGGCCACACTTACAGAATTGTGTGTGTGTGTGTGTGTGTGTGTGTGTGTTGGGACTTGAATTCAGGATCTGGGCACTTGCTGTCCCTTAGCTCTTTTTGCTCAAGGCTGGCGCTCTACCATTTGAGCCACAGATCTACTTACACTCTTTGGCAGTTAATTGAAGGTAAGAGTCTCACAGACTTCTGAGCTGGCTTTGAACTGTGATTTCCACCTCCTAGGAAGTTAGGATTGCTGAAGGCTTGTGGTATAGAATTCTTATACCTTGGGACCTAGCATCCCGTACCTTCTCTTGATCAGACCCAGAAGAACAGTGACCTCTATTCTTGGCCTCTTTTCTTAAACTCCTGGTAGTCTTTCACTAGCTGACAGCCACCATGCATGCATGGCCCATCAGCAGAGACACAGGAATATGTGGAACTTTTGTTTCTTTTTTCTTAGTTCAGTGACTTTCAGATTAGGCCTTATGGACTTTTGTCTACTGATAAGTACATCTCAAGTTTGAGAACAATCACTAACAATAGTGCAATAAACAGTTGGATAAACAATTTAGTGCCAAGAATAATTTTTTTTCTTGTTAAGTGGACATTCAAGTTGAACTTCACAATAGATGTTAACTCATTGTAATCCAGGTCAGGACCTAAACATTCGTTTGTCTAGTCATTCTTATTGTCAGGGCAATGTGTGTTGAAATGAGCCTTCTTTCTATATGGTGGATAAAAAAAGCATTGTTTCATCATAATTTAGTTTGTTTCAGCTTAACAACAACATTGGAGTCCATGTCTACTTGCATTTTTAGTGTGATCATTTTCTTCTTTTAATACACCTGTTGAATGTGTGGTCTTTCCCCTCCCCCCCCATTTCTGATGAAAATACATATACATACTTGGGAAAACCTTTGAAACAATGTAATTTTCTAATACTAGTGATATTATGACTATATATAGATTATATTTCTCATAGAAGTTTGTGCTTTCTCCTGTACTTGTGGCAGAGCTGTTGTTCTTTTGTATGTTTTTATTAGCTTTTCTTTATTATATAGTGCCAGTTCTCTATAGATTATTATGTTAAACCACTTACTTTTCCTGGTCTTTCATTTTTGTTTTTGTTTTCCTGGCTTTTAGTCATTTTATGTTAGCCTCTCTCCCCCCACCCCCTCCAGGAAAGTGCCAAGAAATAACTAATAAGGAAATGCAAATGAACTGACTTGACAGTATGTCACATTCTGCTTTAGAGTTTGGTTTAAAAGAGTAGTAAAAACTACTGGTCAAAATAAGATGTTTTGATTAGGGTTATTGAAAGCAATTGGATTTGTTGGAGAAAGGGAGGGGAATCAGCACAGGACTGGATTCCTCAGCTTTCTTCTGGTCATGGCTTTATGCTTTGGGAGGGTGCTTGGCAACTCGGGCTGCGTTGGTCAATGATTTTCCTCATCTGTCTGTTAAACAATCTCACAATTCCTCCAGATCCAGCAGCACGTTTCTGGAAGTGGCTTGTTTAGAATATCAGTTGCAAATGATTTTGGACTGGTCTTCTAGTTAAAGTGAAACATCTTTTTTTTTTTTCTTCTTTAAATAAATCCACAGAATGAGATGCCATAATCAGAAAACACTTTTTTATATGTATGTCATACCAATGGCCTTAAAGACAGACATTTTCTTACTCCTATAGAACTATGTATTTAATATCATAAATATGTAGAGATCACTTCTCCATTAGCTCTTTGAAATTTCCTTTCTTACGTATTTTCTTTGTTTTCATTTTTATTTTAACTACAACTGGTTGTTTTCTATCCTCAACCATAGTCCCGATGGGTGTGTCTTAACGTACCTACAAAAGACTTTTGAGACTTTACAGGCAAAGCACTAACAAAGACATTTGCATTTCATCCTTCTGAAAAATAATTCCATTCCACATAAGTAGTTGTTAAATATAATTTGAAGATAAGGGAAGCAAGCATGTCTTTTCTTCTTTTGGGATTTTTGTCTTTGTGATATCAGCTTATTTGTTTTTCAAAGGTAAGTTGCCTTTCCTTGTACACACAGTTATACACACTGATTATTTCATCACGTGAAGAGACCACTTGTTAATAATAGTGATGTTAGGATAAGGAAGATGAAACTTCCTTTCCTAAAATCCATCAGGTTGGAATATTACCATACATCTGAGAGACATACTTTGAATTTTAAAACAAACTGAGCCTAGTGAAGGAATTTTAAAAATGTAAGACATTTGAGAAATACTTGATGGATTTTGTCAGACTTATTCTGGAAGAAGGGAATATAATTAGTACATCATAGTAAGATGGTCTATAATTCAAAGATGTGGAATGAGACACACTGAATAGAGGCCAAAGGGCCACAGTTTTGGGCTCTAGGTTAGGGACAATTTGCTTGAACAGTTGGTTCACTGTGAAAGGCCTACTGATGGTAATGGCTCTTTAAAGCAGGAGGTAGATTAAAAACTGAGCAAAGGTAATATGGAAAGGGATCTAAGCATTGGTTGGGGATTGACCTAGATAATTCAACAACCTAAAATTCTGTATTTAAAATACTTTGCCCATGAAAAGATGTTCAGTTTAATATCTGTTGACCCATACCATCTGTTGTTTTGGGGTTTTTTAGAGATTTTAGAAAACTCTTGAAAGGCACTTGATGGGTTTCCTTGATTCTCTTGAGAAAGTGAGCTTAACAGAGCTGAGGCCAAATTACTTTGTGGAGAAAGTAACAAACCACAGGTCTTTAATTTGAAGTTTCAATTTATCATAACTTTGATGTGAATAATTATAAGCAATTTTTGCTAATCAAAGCTAATGGAAAAAATTGTTTCACTTGCAAAAGAACTGATATCCTTGATAGACTGATGGCTCTTCCTTCATCTTTGAAAGTAAGTTGTTGGCCCTGAATCAGTATGGGGACAAATATTCTTTAGTTTGGGTGAAACTTTTGACTCCTCTGAACAAGAGCACAAAGGCTACTCAGCAGTTAGTTCTCCATTGACTTCCTGAAGTACACCAATCAAAGTTTTACTTTTCCACTGACTTACAGCAGAATCAGACATTCTGTGCTTGAGTACTTGAAGAAATCTGTGGTAGGTGGTAGCTTGGAGATACACAGAAGGGGGACTAGTTTAGGTGTAAGAAGCCCCAGAATGTACAAGTTACCTGTGACTTTAGGCAAAACACAATATCTGGAGCATCAGTTTTCTTACAGATGAGACAGACCTGTCAGGATTAGTGTGCAAATTAGATGAGACAACTTGAAGCTGCAATGTTCAGTGGATAGCATTCCAATATTAGTTCTTTTCTCCCCAGTGAAGAGACAGGAGCCTGTACTCTTAAGATACTTGGGAGACTAAGGTGGGAGGAACACTTTGAAATTGGCTACCACAACACTGAAATAGTTGACAAAACAAAGAAAGTTTCTGCCTTTAAAGAAGGGAATTCCATTTCTGAAAAGGAAGTCACTTATTTGACTTGCTTTTAGACATTACTGTCAATAGTTGGTTTCTTCACATATTTCTTGAAAGACATTGTATCCCACTACCTGTCTCTCGGTGGCAATTCCAGGGTTACAAATTCCTTAATATCAGGAAACTTAGTCTTAGAGCTGAAATACCTCACAATGCAATTGAAACCTCTTCTTGATCTCATTCTCCACGGGAAGAAAAATGGGCAGATCCATATATTTTTAGGGAGCCATACTTGGCATTTATTCTGTTTCCCTTCTGGCTAATACTTAAGGTGATAATTATTTCCTTGGTGAATGTCAGAATAAGTATTTACTCTTAGCTTCTTATTGGAATCACATTTAGATCATAAGCTTATTATTGTTTAACTCCAATTATACATGTATTTTTCTTCTTTGGTTATAATTGATAACTGATTCATAACTGAATGCTTCCTTATTGAAGAATGATTCTGGTTGTGTGGCTCTTTTATTTCCATCTCTTGGTAAAAATGGAGTCATAAAACCTAGTTATATGGTCTACTTTTAGAATTTACTTTCATATGTGACATTATTTGTGAATGTAATGACCAATACTGAAGAAGTCTTTTTCCCTCTATTTGTGCACTGTATTTTGAAATAAAAATTGGAGTGCCAAATGCCTAATAAAACCAAAATTCATATACAGAATAACAAAAGAAATCTGGTCTGTTAGAATAATTTACCAGGTGGCTGAACAGTGTACAGTGTTGTTGTTGTTTCTGTTTTTGCTGGTCATGAGGCCTGAACTCTTGGCCCGGGCACTGCCCCTCAGCTTTTCAGCTCAAGGCTAGAGCTGTACCACTTTAGCCACAGAGCCACTTCTGGCTTTTTCTGCTTGTGTGGTGCTGAGGAATCGAACCCAGGGCCTCGTGCATGCAAGGCAAACACTCTACCACTGAGCCACATTCCCAGCCCCAGTGCACAGCTTATTGTTTAAGGTTTGCACAGTGATGCCTGGATTAAATAACAATAATAAATGTGATTAGCCCTCTGGAAAACCAAGCTGCTAAATACTGATTTCTGCAATGTAACCAGTAGGATAAATATTCTCTCATTCTATACAATTGAAAGATGTTAGTAGAATTTTCTTGTAGGCTATTTGATAAATAACTTCAATTTTTTAAAACTTTTTTCTTATTTCTTTATGGCTGGTTGGGTTTTTCATGACATGTTGTAGAACATTTCAAATGAATGGCATGCTGGCTTTAATTTTTACTCAATGACATATCTTCTACACATACAAGATGGCTGGAGCTCCTTTGATGATATAAAAGGAAGCTCCATAAACCTAGTTGAACTAGTGCATGAGTAAAACCACTGTTTTCAGGAAAAAAAAATCTTCTCAAAATTTCAAATAATAAGGACCTAAGAAAAGAATTTTGGTAAAAAAGAAGTGTGCCATATATATATATATATATATATACACACACACATACATATATGTGTATATATATATACATATATATATATTACTGCACACATTTTAATGCATGACTTTTAGTATAGGGCTGAAGTAAAATGCAAAATATATAATTCTGGGATGTTAGCAGCTAATTAAATATTTAGCAAGGCTGCTTTATAAAGAGTTAGAAAATCCTTGCTCTCTCTCCTTTTCCTAGCTCTCTTAAAACTTGAGTGTTTAACATACACATTTCAACAAACAGATGGATCATTGAGTTTTATGAGCTCAATTTTTAATATTTGGCTATTGGTTTATGCATAAGATCTCAGTAAAATTCATATACACATTATATATAACCTAATTGTCAGCTTCAATATAAGCATAGTACTTAATTTTAAATGTTAATGTGCAAATATTACAAGGTATGCTTTGTCTATGTAATATTATTTTTACTTAACAAAAAGCCCTTCAGAAATATAAGCCACTGATAACCTGTGTGCATTAGCTTGAAAACATTCTGTTGAAACATTCTGTGACTTATGAAAAATTCAACATAAAAAATGCGGACTGGAACAGGAACTTGAAAAAATATTTTTAAATAAAATTATATACCTCTTTTTAAAATGAAGATGTAATTCGTATACCATGGAAACTCACTATTTAAAAGTGTAAAATTCAGTATTTTAGTATGGTCACCCCTTGTGCAGTGTTACCACTAATGTCAGATCATTTCATCATCCCCCCCAAAGAAATTTTGTGTCCATTAGCAGGCATTCCTCCCTCCCCAGCATCTGGCAACAACTCATCTGCTTTCTACTTGTCTAGGTTTGCCTATTCTGGACATTTCATAGAAATATAATCCTACAATATGTGGCCTTTTTGCATCTGGCTTCTCATATTTAACTTTTCTAGGTTCATCCATATTGCAACATGAATCCAAATATGGTTCATGGCTAAGTAGTATTCTATTGTATGTATATACCACATTTTATTTCCCCATTCATGAGCTGATGGGCATTTGGGTTGTTTCCACCTTTTGGGTAAGTAATGCTGCTATGAACAATTATGTGAATTGTGTGTGTGTGTGTGTGTGTGTGTGTGCGCGCGCGCGTGCATGTGTGTGTTACCACATCTCTCCTAAAAACAATGAACCTAACAAATCCAGTCATTTGAATTTATTCAAAGAGAACCTCTTAAGTCCTTCTTGGAGAATGCAAGTTCTGATTTTAGTTAAATCAATTAGGAGACCCCTGAATTGTTAATTTTCCAATACATACAAAAGAAATTTTCTGAGTCTGTCATTTAGATAGGATAATTTTATGAAAACTCTGCAGGCTTGTAGAAATTGCATTGTTATCTCAGATAATTTCTCAAGGACAGCTATAAGTGATGCTGAAGAGAGCTAATCTTTTGGGATTCAACAAAGAAACATTTTTAAAGGTATATTTTCTTTTCTATATTGACTGTCTTTAAAAGTTTGGAAAAAGGTCATGAAATCATCAAACCACCTGACTGTTCATTGTAGCTTTTTATTATTAAGAAATAATTCATACTAAGAGTAAAAGTAAAAAGAATGTATTTTGTGTGCTAAGAATGAATGTATTTAATGAAACCTTTTTATTTGTAACAGTTTTTTAAAAAGCTAAATGGAAATTGCTTTCCCATGTACTTGTATGTAAATAAACATTTCCTGTTGCCCACATTTCCAACTGGCTACTGTAACTGGCTAACATCTGATATTCAGCATTTTTTACCATGTTTTTTCCCTCAATGAAGTAGATTCCCTTTAAGGCCTTCTCCATGTAATAAGACTACTCTGTTATATTCAGGATGTGAAAATTATGTGCTAATTTTAGTGATGAGAGAGATGCTTTATCCAATGATAAATTAGGAGTATTACACGAGGAATCAAGAATATAAACTGTAATCCCAGTTCTGACACTGAGAGCTAACCTAAAAAAAAAAAAATCCTACAATTTGTATGGAAGTTCAAAATGACCCAAATAATCTTGAGTATGAAGAGATGAGATGGAGGCATCAAAATACCTAATTTCAAGACATATTACAGAAGATGGAAGATGGCTCAAATGGCAGCATATTTGCTTAACAAGTATAAGGCCCTAAGCTCAATCCTCAGTACTGACAAAACAGAAACAAAATAACACATACTGTAGACAATATATAGCCGGAGCTGGGAAGGTGGCTCAGAGCACTTGCCTTGCATGCTCGAGGCCCTGGGTTCGATTCCTCAGCATCACATAAGAAAAAACCTGGAAGTGGCGCTGTGGCTCAAGTGGTAGAGTGCTAGCCTTGAGCTGAAGAGCTGAAGGACAGCGCCCAGGCCCAGAGTTCAGGCCCCACGACCGGACCCAAAAAAGAAAAATAAATAAAAGAGAATATATAGCCAAAATAGTATTGCACTGACATAAAAATATACCAGTGTACTGAGAACTGGTAGCTCATGTCTGTAATCCTAACTAATCAGGAGGCTGAGATCTAAGGATTGTGGTTCAAAGCTAGCTTGGGTAGGAAAGTTCATGAAACTCTTACCATCAGTTAAATACCAAAAAGTGGGAAGTGGAGCTGTGCCTCAAGTAATAGATTGCTAGCTTTGAGGGGGGGAAAAAAACCCTCAGGGACAGAACCTAGGCCCTGGGTTCAAGCCCCAGGACCGGCACATAAACACAAAAAATAGACCAGTGTCAGAGAATAGAGAACTCAGAAATGAACCCACATACCTACAACTATCTCATTAGTAAAAATGCCCCCCAAAACCCATACATTGGGGAAAAGCTGTCCTTTCTCCAATGTATGGGGTTTTTTTTGTTGTTGTTGTTTTTGCACCTTTGTTAGAAAGAACAAATGGTGCCGGAAAAACTGGATATCCACATGCAGAAGACTGAAATGATTTTTATATAGGATGATTTCAGCCCCACAGCTGAACAACAAAAGCATATCAAGGTGTGTAGCTAAGTGGTACAACAAATTCTTAAGTTACACAGGGCCCTGGATTCAATCTTCAGTACCAAAGCCAAAAAAGTACAGAAATTCATGTTCTGATTCTGTCATATAAAGGTTTTCTTGCTCAAATTTGAGCTACATGAAATTAATGTTCCTATAGACCAAAACATGGCAATTTCATATGAGCTAGTAAAGCAAACTGTTGTAGGAAAAATCTTGATTCTTAAGCTTTTCGTTTTGTTCCATTTTTGGTACAAATTAGTTCGCCTAGGCATTGGTTTCATTAGGTAATCCATATATTCATTATTACAGATGACTGGAAGGTAGTTATAAATATAATTTGTTCCCTGAAGATCTAAATATTTAGATTATTGTGTTTCTCATCTCAGCAATGTCATGCTTTAAAAATAATTCTTTGGCAAATAGGAGAATTATGTTATGAAAAATCTGATGATCATTATCATCTGTTGATTCAATTATTTCTGGTCTGGCAGACTGCAGCTGATATATGTTATTTACATACTGCTGAACTCATCTGCAGCAGAGAGATGAAACCTGGAGCTATATTTAAACCATAACCTCATGAGTTTTGGCCAGGTGCTCACATTTGAATATTTCCAGAACTGTAGTACAATTAAGGAACTGAAATATTCTATTTCTATTACTTGTAAGAAACCTCATTAATATCTAACACTTTAATACTACTACAGGGAAATATCATGAGAGCACTTGAATATATAGGCATAAACAATGACTTTCTGAATAGAACCCCAAGTACTCAGGGACAAAGAACAAAAACTGATAGATGGGCTGGGCACTGGTGGCTCATTCCTGTAATCCTAGCTACTGAGAAGGCTGAGATCTGAGGATTGCAGTTCAAAGCCAGCCTGAGCAGGAAAGCCACAAGACTCTTATCTCCAATAAATTACCAAATAAGTTGGAAGTAGAGGTATAGCTCAAGTGGCAGAGTGCTAGTCTTGACCAAAAGGACAGTTCCCAGGCCCTGAGTTCAAGCCCCAGGACTGGTATTAAAAAAAAAAACCTGACAGATTGTGTTAAATTACAAACTTTTTGCATAGCAAAAGAAACAGGAGAATAAAAAGATAACCCACAGAATGGAAAAATCTTTACAAGCCACTCATTGGACAAAAGATTAATACCAAAACATATAAATGCTCAAAACATTAAATACCGAAAAGAATAGCTAATCTAATAAATGTGAAAATGAACTGAATAGGCAGTTCTCAAAAGAAGTACAAAAGGCAAACATATATATTGAGAAATGTTCAGCATCCCTGCCCCAAAAGAAAACACATATCAAGGTAACTGTGAGATTACATCTTACCCTAATCAGAATGGCTGTCCTGAAAACAAACAGATGCTGTAGAGGCTAGGGAGGCTGGGGTGTTGTTGGGAATGCAAATGAGTGTAGGCCCTATGAAAAATCATTATGGTGGTTTACCCAAAGAGTAAAATCAGAACTGTTTTATGATCCTGCTATACCACTCTTGGAAACACATCTGAAGGAATATAAATCAATGTACAATAGAGACACCTGTACACCTGTTTTTAATAGCAGCAAATATGTAATAGTCAAGCTATGGAATATGCATACATGTCCCAAAATAGAAGAATAAAGGAAATATAGTACATATATACAATGCAGTGCTCATAGCCATAGCTGGGTGTGGTGGATTAGGCTTGTAATTCTAGCTAATCAGGAGGTTGAGATCTGAGGATCAAGGTTCAAAGCCAGCCCCGGTAGAGAAATCCTTGAGATTGTTAACTCCAATTAATTATCAGAAAACTGGAAGTGGAGTTGTGGCTCAATGTGGTAAGAGCTCTAGCCTTGAGCAAAAAAAACCAAGCCTTATGACTGACCAAACACACGAGAGCGCGCGCGCACACACACACACACACACACACACACACACACACACACACACACACACACACACACACACACACACACACACACACACACACACACACACACACACACACACACACACACACACACACACACACTCTATGTTCCTTTCAGAAAATATGAACTGGAAGCCGGCCGCTGGTGGCTCATATCTGCAATCTTAGCTACTCAGGAGGCTGAGATCTGAGGATTGAGGTTCAAAGCCAACCCAGGCAGGAAAAGTCCAATAAACCACCAGAAAACCGGAAGTGGCGCTGTAGCTCAACTGGTAGAGTGCTCACTGGCCTTGAGGTGAAGAGCTGAGGGACAGTGCCCAGGCTCAGAGTTCAAGCCCCAAGACTGGAAAAAAAAAATGAACTAGAAACTAGGCACCAGTGGCTCACTCAAGTAATCCTAACTCTGAAGGCTGAGATTTGAGGATTAAGGCTCAAAGTCAACCCTGGGTGGGAAAGTCTCTGAGACTCTTATCTCCATTTAACTACCAGAAACCAGAACTGGTGCTGTGGTTCAAGGTGATAGAGCCCTAGCATTGAGCTAAAATAGTGATAAAACACTTAAGAGACAGACTCCAGGTGCTGATATAAACCCCACAACTGACAAAACAAAACAAAACTGGAGGTATCATGTTGAATAGGATAAACTTAGCTCAGAAGATAAATATCTTGTGCATTCTCTTTTTTTTTTTTTTTTGGGTCCGGTCAGGCCTGAACTCTGGGCCTAGGTGCTGTCCCTCAGCTCTTCAGCTCAAGGCTAGCGCTCTACCACTTGAGCCACAGCACCACTTCCTGCTTCTTCTGCTTATGTGGTGCTGAGGAATCAAACCCAGGGCCTCATGCATGCAAGGCAAGCACTCTACCACTCAGCTACCTTCACAGCCCCTACAAGGAAATCTTTTTAAAGGAACAATTAAGAAATGCTAATAAGGGGACTGAGAATGTTGAAGGGACGACACTAATCAAAATGCATTTCATTCATAAAGTGATTTTTATATAGTACCTCCTTTGTATACCTAAAGATTAAAAAAAACTTGTAAGATATCGTGTGTGAGTGTGTGTGTGTGTGTGTGTGTGTACGCCTGTCCTTGGGCTTGAATTTAGGGTCTTGGAGATTTTTGTTCAAGATTAGCACTCTACCATTTGATCCACAGTTCCTCTTCTGGCTTTTTGGTAGTTAATTGAAAAGAAAAGTCTTGTGGACTTTTCTACTTGGGCTGGCTTTGAACCAAGACCCTCAGATCTCAGCCTCCTGAGTAGCTAGGATTAAGGCATAATCCACTGGCACCTGGGTCCTACATACATTTTTATCCTTTGAGTTTATGCAGATTTTCAGAGAATCATTGTATTTTCACATCTAGATCAAAATAAGTTAGGAAAAACTTATTTTGAATATAGTTTTCTCAGAGAGGAACCTCTAAGAGCTAGAACTCAGAAGTGGAGCTGTGGCTCAAAATGGTAGCACACTAGCCTTTAGCAAAAAGAGCTCAGGGACAGCACCTGGGCCCCAAGTTCAAGCCCATGACTAACCCCCCCCCCAAAAAAAAGAGGAACTGTAATAGGCCTAACATTCTTTATAGCTTTTATACCTTACTTTGCAAGGAAAGAAAATTACTGAAGGAAGTTTCTTACTGATCAGGAAGTGAACAGGTTTTAAAGGAAGACAAAGATTAATACCCTGTGTTGAATACAGAAAGCATTCTGGACAAAAGGAATGAAGAGTGCAAAGGCCTTGTGCATGTGAGGTAAATGCTATGCCACTTGAGCTATGCCCCCAGATAGTCTCGTTTTTAAAAGATGATATATATTCCATAAAGT